AATAAAATCACCTGCTCCTCTTCAGTGCGTTATGAGTTCCCAAAGGGTTTTTTTTTCTTTTCCCCTACTAGGATAGTTTGTGATCTTTTGGGCATTGCCAGGTGGGTCTTACAGCAAAAACTAAATGCCACATTATTTTACATGCACACTTTGCAATTTATAAAGACCTATTATATTATTTGGGCTTCAGTTTTTTCCAACATAAGATACCTTGTTTACAAAAGCAATTTTTAGACTAGTACCTTACTGGAGTGTGAAGGTGTGTTCCCCTTGCTGGCCCTTACTTTGATGCCTGCTTATCACTCCCGTCCATGAACTCGGGACAGGCAGTCAGAGCTCTTCCTTATCTGCCAATATGTAAGACATTTGTGTCTCAGAACAGCCAAGTGGCTTATCTAGTCACAACTCCGTGGGATGACTCTGAAAAAGGTTTTTCCACTTCTTGATTTTAGAAGCTTGCGCTCTAAGCTACTGAGATAGACAGAGACAATAACGGTAATCAAAAGCATTATCATGAAAATTTTAAACTCCATTAAGTTTTTCTTATGCCAAGGACTGGAGTCCCTGAAAGTTTGGAAATGTTAATGCTACTTCATTTGCCTGTGAACATGGTGGATCAGACTAGAAAACTAGTAAATAATTTCAGAGTGGTATTATATGTCTTCTTGCAGAAGTACATGGTTTGGGGAACAATTGATCAAGGTACAGTCTTTTCTGTCTGAAGATGTGTGGAAGAGAGGGTGGGGGAGTTTGAAGCAGGAAGGGAGGCCAAGGTAAGATCAGTGATGGCAGGCAGGGGCTAGAATAGATGGACAGCTTATATGTAATATTTTTTTCTAAAATTGGTAATCATCAATGGTGCATTAAATCACATTTTAAAATGCTTCATGAAGAACTAGACAGAAGAGTTCAAAGTCTTTAAACAAAAAGAAAATTTAGCCAACACTAATTATTCTGAGTTGATCTTTATAACTGTATAAATGTATTGAAATATCATACTATATCCTAGAAATATATTGTATGTCCATCTAAAAAAGTCACATTTATTTTTTCTGATTAAAGTGTATATAGAGAACTTGTGAATAAGGTGCTAGCATGAGGCAGGTCATGACAGATGTGTTTAACAAATAGCCATTCCTAAGGTATTTGGAGGACATGAGTCACGCTGTGAGTGAAGACAATTAGCATTGGCACACATTAGGGGTAACAAGACTTGGAGATTTTGCAAAGGAATGTGTGTAGATTAGGGGTTGGCAAACATTTTTCTGTAAAGGGCCAGATTGTAAATGTCTCAGGCTTTGTGAGCCATATGGTCTCTGTTTCATCTACTCAAATCTGCTGTTATAGCACAGAGACAGCTACAGACAATGTGTAAATGAGTGAGCAGGGCCGTGTTCCAATAAAACTTTATTTATAGATGGTACATTTGAATTTCATATAATTTTCATAGGTCATATTATCTTTCTTTTGGGATTTTTTTCTAAAAGTCATTCTTAGTTCATGGGTCTTCCAACCTTGGAATCATGTTTCCCTTGCTGGCTATGGTTCTGCAGTCCATGTTGGGGCTCTTTGAAAGTCCACACCATACCTGTCTGCATGGATGTGGAAGAATTCAATCTAATTTTTTGAGTGGCAGCATCACAAAACAATCTCCTACTCTCAGCGTTCTTCCTCAGGCCAACCACTGGATTCACTGCATACTCACCAACAGAACTTTAGTTTGAGCAATGAGAGGTAGGCATCTAGCTCAGAACATCTGTCTTCCCCAGCAGATCATGGTTAGATTCGAGTCAGGTGGGGTCCTCACAGAACTCCAGATTCTGCCCTTTCTCTCCAGCCTCTCAAGTGGATGGAGGAACTGGAGCCAGACCAAGGTGATCTGAACTGCTACTATGGAAAGCCTCCAATCTTTGCCTTTGTTCTCTTCTCTTATATAATCCTAAGAATACCGAAAGCACTGCAAAGACAGGTCTTGGGTCTTTAGACATCTCTTTTCTCCACTGTACCAAGTTAAAGATAATGCTACTCTCTTGCCTTCGCCACTTATGTGTCTGTTTGACTTCCAGAAATGGGTGGTCAAGCTTAGTCTACTATAATATCATAGGGCTGTGGATTTCACACTAACTCTGATAATGAGGGGAAGGCCAATGGAGTCCCCAGGAGACTGCCAGGAGAAGCTTGGCTTTGATGCCTTTGTGCAACCTCTGGAAGACACTCATCAGCATCCTGAGATCTGTTTCCATTCCCTGTCTGCCTGTCTGCTCTCATCTCTCCTACTTCTCTTGCTACTTCCTAGCAAATGTAAGCAATTATTGCTGTGCCAGGGCCAAGAGATGTAAAAGCAAACAATAACTTAGGAAATATGATTTTAAAACACAACAATCCAAATATTTGAACTTTAGTGACATTTGTACTCTGTCTTCTGTCAACTCTAATTTTATCAAACAGGGATGAGTGACACTCAGGGGATTTTGTGATTTTCCAGTTTAGTCAAAGGAAACTCCTGGCTTGTCTGAAATTAGTCTAGTGAAAAAGCAAACAACTAGGAAAAATAAGAACAATTTTTCAGCCTTGTTCTTTCCTTCCTCTTTTCAATTTACTATCTTTTGAAGGTCACCTGGGAGCATGTACCTGGATAATCTTCTAGGTTTGAGGCAGGACAGCTGGTTTGCTTTCCAAAGCATCTGGGTCTCCATTGTATACTAGTAGGTAAAGAATGGTTCCTTGGTAACTCAAGCTACTTGCTATATTTTCTCAGATTTTATAGGATGTATATTATCTCCCTTTTGCCCACAACATCACCTAATAAATCCAACCCAGTTACCTAACAACTTTCTTCTTTCTTACCCAACCCCCAACATGGGACTACTGGTTCCTTACAGGAAAGGGTCAGACAAAGGCTATCCTCATGTGCATGTCTTAGTCACTACTCACTGGCATTTACATGGAGACAAGCCTTTCTTTACAGCTTCTAGACACAGAATAACATGTCAGCATAGGCTAGATGTTCATGAACGTGTGTGTGTGTGTGTGTGTGTGTGTGTGTCCAGTGCAAATTTCTCAAAGCTCTTTGGGCATTTCCTTTCTCCCCAGTCCCTCCTCCTGTCACTTGTCCCTTTCTCTCCCTCCCCATTTCCACTTCTCTCTTTGTATTTATTTCTGAGTTGTGGCTAGAAGTCTTCACTTCTTGGTCCTCTATTCCAAGCAGTTTGACTCCATACTTCCTAGACTCTCAGAACCTTAAGGTATCACAATAGAGCCTCTTCAGAGGGCACAAATGGATTTAACAAAAATTAATTCCACCACATTTACAAGACTTACTTGTGTTTGCCCTGCCATTTACAGGCTGTGTGAGATGGAATCAATTACTTTATGTCTCAGAATAAGTTTCAGTGCTATTCATTTCGGTACCCCAGGGACTATCTAAATGAACATATACAATAGCTAATAGATACGCAGTCAGCTATAAACCCAGCACCCTGGTAAGTGTTCTGTTTTTGTGATTTCAATGACCTTTGTCATCAGAGTTATTTTCAGACTATTAAGTTGACTGTCTGAGCTGTTCAGTCACCTGCCTAAGGTTGTTTGTCCAAAGAAGACAGAGTAAGGATGAGACTGATATAAAGTGTTATATATCAGAGACTCTCACATGCTCTCTGCCTCTGGTTAAGGCTCACATCTGGTCACTTATGGAAAGATGGAGCTGTGTCATTCAGATGACAGGAAGCATTGTGTGGATTTCACTGAACTAAGAAGAACGTGAAATCATTCATTATTTTTGCTTTACTTGTATTTATGTTGTGCATTAAGTGTGTTTCACAGACACAGATCTAGCATAGTGCCTGTGAAAAGAGATGAGTAATAGGGAACTGAACAAGAATCATTTGACTCCTTTCAGTAATTGATTACCAATACATACCCCTACACACACACACACCACACATACACACACACACACAAATACACACACACACACAAACACACACACCACACACACACAAACACACACACCACACACACACAAATACACACACACAAATACACACACACACAAATACACACACACACAAATACACACACAAACACACACACACACACCACACATACACAAATACACACACAAACACACACACACAAATACACACACAAACACACACACACAAACACACACCACACACACAAATACACACACAAACACACACACACAAATACATACACACACACACAGACACACACACACACACAGGCTTATGCACATGCATGCATTATTCTAAGTCAGGGAATTCCACAGAGATGATAGAAAGGTATTGAAGAAAGGATATGGAGGAGTTCATGATTTAAGATTAAAGCTATGTATTTCCCTTAGGTTGTGAGAGCTGACCATGTACGAAATCTATGGCTGTGGCACAGGAAGGCTAGTTAGATTGTTCTCTGAAAGGCAAGTTAAACACTACACAGTAGGGCAGCAGATTAGTAAGCACATAGTCTTTTTTTTTAAATGTATTTTAATAGCAAACTTAGAGGAACAGCACAGAAGACAGACAACATTAAAAACATGTACTTGCATGTAGGACAACTCAGTTAGAAAAGTATAGTGATGGATGGAATCTGCTGGATGATAAAAGTGCTACAAACACCAGTTAGTTGCCGTCAATAAGAAATTTACTTATTTTTAAAAAATCCAAATGCTGGCATTGTCCAGAAAATTTTAACAGGTTTATTTATAATTGTTATAAAGTCGAACTGTTGAAATGTGTTCACTGAAACATTTTGCTTGCATTAATGCTTTACATCTTGCATTTATATTAAAAATTCACACACAATGAACGTGGAGAAACTGCCAATACCTGATTCTGTCCCCTATGTTTCCACTCGCAATCATATACTTAGGTACCTTTGACCCCATGGAAAAAATATCTAACATTCAGAACTACTGATAACAGGAAGAAGAGGAAAAAAACTTTTTTTGAGAATGAAATGTTTCCCCTCATAGTGGACTCTTAAGCACGCTCTCCGCGTATGCGAAGAGCTAGCTGGATATCTTTTGGCATAATTGTTACAAGTTTGGCATGGATAGCACACAGGTTGGTATCTTCAAAAAGGCCAACCAGATAGGCCTCACTTGCCTCCTGCAAAGCACCAATAGCTGCACTCTGGAAGCGCAGATCTGTTTTGGAGTCCTGAGCAATTTCTCGCACCAGACGTTGAAAGGGGAGCTTGTGAATCAGAAGTTCAGTGGACTTCTGATAGCGCCTGATTTCACGGAGTGCCACAGTGCCAGGCCTGTAACGATGAGGTTTCTTCACCCCTCCAGTAGAGGGCGCACTCTTGCGAGCGGCTTTTGTAGCCAGTTGTTTCCTGGGTGCTTTACCACCGGTGGATTTGCGGGGCACTGGCGTTAGAGAGCGGCGGCTGTGAGCACAATTGAAAGATGGCTGACACCGAGGCTTTCCCCCTACACACACCGCCGTAAGCACATAGTCCTAAGTGATCTCTTGGTGTATTATTAGCTTGGCTACAAAGTCTGGCAAAAATTAAATCTCTCTGAAGGCAAAACATCACCATAACCTATTTTATTTATTAAGTATGATCCTAGAAATAATTATATAATAATAATAGTTCATAAAACGCAGGCATAAAATTCCTAGATGTTTGACCTTGGGCTGTATAGTGGCTGCATGAGTTCTTACGACTTATGTGACTTAATATTTGATGGATGGGGATAAATAAAAAATATTTATTTATTTATCTGTGTATGCAATAATGTGTGTATGTGTGTGTGTGTGCAGCAAATAAACACTGCCCTGTATATTTGGAGGTCAGAGGGCAGCTCATGGGAGTTGTTTCCTTCTACTGCATGTGTCCTGTGGATCAAACTCAGGCTGTTAAACTTTGTCGCAAGAGATTTTAACTGCTGAGATGCTGCTGCTGCTGTTGCTGCTGCTATTACTACTACTACTGCTGATCCCAAATGGGTGTTCTGATAGACAAATAAAATGAAGAGCCACAAGACATATTTTTTTTTTTGATTCTTCAGCTGACAGCAAGAGGGTTTATTGTACACGAGTTACACTTGGCCACAAGAGAACAGAACTAGTCCAGAATGCCATAGGTCCGGGGCAGAGGGCCAGCGGGACTGGTTTTAGTTGTAAGAAAGGCAGTCATTTTCCTAGGTGATCTCGACGAGGTTGACATTCCAGGTCTACAGAGACTTAGTACCGACAGCAGCATACAGTCCCAACAGCTTGTCCCCGGTGTCCCGAGCCTTCGGCATTCCTCACTTCTGCTCCCGCAGGCTTCGTGGGTGCACAAGCTGGGGTTCTACTTGGACCTCTGCCTCGTCTTTCTTCTCTTGCGCTTCAGCCTGCTCATTCTCTTCTTCCGCCACTTCGCTCTCATGGCGCAGGAGTCTCAAGGAAGATGGCGCTAAGACCGAGAGCAAGACATTTTCATTAACTAAATAACTACGCATTTTTTGCAAATTTAAGCAAGCTATTCTCCTGTGGTGCGCTGCCGCGCATGCGTAGTCTCCCTCCTGAAATCACCATCAAACACCAGTAAGGCCAATGCCTGAGCAGCCGGTAACTGTCAAAAACTGACGCAGCCCGACGTGTCATATCTGCCGAGACGCATCAGCCAATAGAGTAGGGACACGCCGACCCGATGGGTATATAAGGAGAGCTCCTCTTCCCCTCGGGGTCTTTCCTCATTTTCATTGGAATAAAGCTTGCTGCAGAAGGATCCTGGTGTCCGAGTCCGTTCTTGCTGGCGAGAAGGTGACGCGGGTCACATTCTCCCAACTTAATTCATTTGTAAAATCATGATGCCTTTCCTACCTGTCCTTTACAGAGTGACATTCTATTGCTACAGTCTATGTGCTTGTGGCTATCATCAGGAACTTTGTCATAAGTGGGAGGGAGGGTTGAACAGTAGAGTATTAACAGTTCAATTACAATGAAAGTATGGCATGCATGTTTTTTCTTCCTTTCCACTAGACACGATGCTTTTCTTCTCTCTTTACATGACCCAGCACTCCATGCCTTGTTAATAAATACACATGTGCATGAACATTTGGCTGATAATGGGAACTGAGTCTGCCATTGATGTTCCCCCTAGAACGGCCAAGTGAGCCACTGGGAGCTGAACTGTAGCAGTGACATTTTCAATAATGGGTGTATAAGAGCAATTGTCACCTTGCTTATTTTACTAGCTTGTTGCAGTAGAGACTACTTAGAGTGATTAGGTCAGTAAACTGGCTATTTGACAAAGGGGTTGGAGAAGAGAATAAAAAGAATTGAAGGTTTGGGAGTCTGAATGAACAATTGGAACAAGAAAGAACGGAGCATGAGACGAGCTACCAGTCATTTGTGAGACATCGTATCCCAGCCACTTGCCAGCAGCACTGCTATGTAGATACTGTCTCCATTTACTGATGAAAGCCTGAGGCTTGGAGGTCTAGCACCCTCTAACCACACGCAAAATTCTACCAGTTAGCTTTGATTCACTTTTTTCTTCTGCATCCCATAGCCAATATACCTTGTAGACCTGCTGCTTTTAGCTCTTAAATATCTTCTAGGTCAGAAGCAGGTTGTGACCCCCTTGGGCTCATACATCAGACATCCCGCACATCAGGTTGTGATGCATAATAATGGCAAAATCTCAGTTATGAAGTCATAATAAAATAATTTTATGGCTGTGCATCAGCACAGCATGAGGAACTATATTAAAGGGTTGAAGCACTGGAAAGGCTGAGAACCACTGCCCTAGCTTCTGTTGATCCTTTAGAGTATCATCCCAGAGCTTACACAGAGTCCCACCCTAGTTGTGTGCTTGTGTACACACCCTCTCCCAGTCTGGATGTCAGATTCTAGCCTGTGAATACTCCACTACTCAACTTTCCTTCCCACTTAGGACAAGACTCCTGTTGATAATCCTGGCTATCTTCACATTTGATCTCGCCGTGTGCCCTTTTTCGCACAGCCCCAGTCTCTCACAGGAGAAACCGCTTCCCCCGAGCCCTGTGTCTTTCTTTTCTTGGGATACTCCCTCCTCTCCATTTCATGTGCTCATCACACATTATTATTCTGACCTCATCTCTAGCTGCCCTCTCTTGGGAAGCTGACTTATGACCTATGGCCTATGAGCCTAGGACAAACGCTCCTGAGTGTTCTCACAGTCTCAGGACCTTCCTGTACAGCTCCAGTAACAGCAAACCATTTTTGCTAACTAGGGTAAGAGATGTGTTTGAATTTGGCTCCTCAGAGTGAAATGGGGAAAGAGATCTAGTCTGTCTACTTCCTGATGTCCAGAGTGGGAGATGAGCTGCCTTTTAATGAAGGAATTATTTGGGAAATATATCCTGGCTAGAAGGGATGGAACTTGCATTTATACCAATTCCCCTTAACCTCTTTTCTGCAAAAGAGCGTGACAACTTCTTAATGTGAGAAATATGGGCCCTCACTTCATAATAAGAGCACCAGAAACTCAAAGTTAAAGAAAATGCACTTTATTTTAAGGCTAGGGCAGGAATGGGGTGTTCCCCAGAATGGCAGATGTGTCAATCGAGCAGAGAGAACTGCTTTTATAAACCTACACCCAAGTGTCCCTCTCCCATCCCTTGGTGGCTGAGTGAACAGGAGGGTAAAGTCTTACATTGTCATCTAGGTCTTGGGTTTATTTCTCAACCTGGCTAAATTTCTGTTTTCCATCCTGGTTAGCTTAGAACTGACCATGCTCACAGCCATTTCACTCTTAAGTCCTTAGGCAAGTTTCCTGTTAGTAATCCTCTACTCCGCGCCTCCAGTAAGGGTTGGGGGAGCAGGGCTAGCAGAATTTGAGTGAGGCTAGCTAACATAGCAGGCTACCAACAGCAACCAAAAGTTTATTTCATCTGTATTTGTACCAGAGCTGACTCAAGGTACTTTGACTTTAAAAATGAGCCATCAGATTTTGTTTATTGTAATCAATGCATTTCAATCTTTGTGTGTTTTCTGTGATCTAACTTGGCAAGATTTACTGCAACTTTTTAAAATTAATTTACTTTTTGACAATTTCAGATATTTCATATGTGTACATAACACACTCTGGCAACATTCACCCCAAGTTTATCTTCATGCCTTCCAGCAAGTGCAAGTGCCCCTCCAGCCTTTTTCCCCCTTTCTTTTATCTTTTATTGTATTTTATTTTATTGTTTTTGGTGATCAAGTTTAACAAGGGACAAGGTGTAATTTTTTCCCCATGTTTACCAGCTTGGCACTTAACACCATTTGCTTTGGGGCAGTGGCATTTTAAACATAGGACTAAAAAAGCACTTTTTGCTAAGATGAGACATTTTTGTTTCATCACATGAACTATGATAATTATAGATTACAGGAATGGTGAGCAGAGAGACCTGGTTAAGATGTCCAGAGAACTCATCAAAGAGAAATGTAACAAAAACAGAGCTGTTGAGGCTGGTGTGGTGGAGGCTGAAGAGTGGGAAAGAAGCTCTCTCATACTTGTCCTTCCTTCCAGGGTGCTGGCCAACAGGGCTGCCCTGCCTGTGTTAAGAGAAGGCTGAGTTACCCTGTCAGGTGTGTGTGTGTGTGTGTGTAGATATGCCACGGCATCTGAATGAACTTGATCTCACTGTGTGCTCCACCTCTTTGGCTGAACAATTAAGAAATTCACAGAAAATCTTGAATGTACACTGGTGCTTTGTCATTGGCACCTCCCTAAGGCCGCACATTCTTGAACTTGGAGCAGGGAGAAGAAAGGAGAAGGGTGACAAGAGAGGCCAGGTAGCCTTATGTCCCAATGTCTGCCATTCTGTAAGCTAATAAGCTGTTTTGGATCAACTTTAACATTTCTGGGGCCTCAGTTTCCCCATCTGAAAAAGTCAAGTGATGAGTTGAATTCCTTCAAAACTGAGAGTCCGTGCTCTGCATCTCCACCATTGGAAACAGTAGAAGCTGTTGTTCTCGTGTTCTTGCAGCTTTATAAATTATATATTACAAAGGTGCCATCTCCTTCCTAAACAACCCCTCTGGAAAATTAAGTGCTTAATAATGTCCACCTGGTCAGTAAAAAGGCATGAGGAAGGGATTGGCTGTCAATAGTTCTGTGGCTGTAAACTAAGTCAGAAGAAAGGGCTTCTGCAAACATCTCCTCACATAGCCTTCATTTTCCTCCGTAACTTAGAATAAAGTGAATAATTTCTGATGAACTTCTTACTTGAAGATAATGAAAAAAAAACATGCCATTAGCAAAAGGGCCATTTAGTTGCTGGATTACCAAATATGTCTGAGTATACATATAAGTGTTCAGTTGTGGGTCGGTGCGGTACTGCACAGGGTTCAGCTGCATCTTTTTAGGGACAGAGAAGCCCTTGAATGTCTTGTGATTTTGTTGTTGTTGTTATTGTTGTCTGGTTGGTTAGATTTTTCTTTTGTACTGAGTTTTGAACCCAATTGCCTCACGCATGTGTTCTTAGGTGCTCTGTAGTGGATTGAGCTCTCCCCTCAACCCTTATGTGGTTATTAATCAACAGGATAGAGGGCATTCAGAGTCATTGAATTCCTAGCTTAGGGCCACAAGCATGCCCTTGGTGTTTGAACATGCATCTTTAATGTTGTGGAGGTAACATAATAAATGAGGTTGTGTTTGTCCCTGATTATCTTACCCAAGAGAAGTACAAAGGAGAAGGGCTAGCCAAGCCTGAACTGTGATCACCATGCGCTTATTATAAAAAAGAGAAAGAAACATCATTTCATTGTCTTTTTTTGTGCATGAACTTTTTTGCTGACGTTTTCTCAGCCTGTGCAGTGCTGCACCAACTTACCTATAACAAAAGTGACCTTGACAAATTGCTTAAACTCTCATAGTCTCTTGTTGGTCCCTGCTACTATTTGGGGGCGCAATCCCTGCTTTTTTCTGTTTGAGCTGTTGCTACTCATGTTTCATACGGTGTTAGGCACATACATCTGTGTTTTATAAAGACTCATCCCACATCAGAGATGACTCCCGATGAGGGGGTCAGAGTGTCTTTGAGCTTGGATTTGTGTGTGGTGAACTAGGCTAGAGCAAACATGAAACAAGCACATTTTCTAGGTGCTTTATTTTTCCCTCTCTAGAAAATGACATTGCTCTTATACGTGAAGACACTTGTCTACCTAGGTATATGGATTGTCAGAGCTTCGAAGAGCTTCAGGAATGTAATTAATATTTCACATTACAGGTTCCAGTCAGTGGGCCGGTCATGCACCCCCCTGTGAGAATCTCATGGATGCGTGGGCGTCAGTCATCTGGAATCACATCATCCATCCTGTAGATCAGCAGTCCCAGGGGAGTGATGCTGAAGATTTAATTGGGACATACATCAGGAATAATGTGGAATCTATCTCCTTAAATGTTTCCTGGGAGAATTCCTGAACATTTTATAAAGGATACTGCATTGACTGAATGACTCTGATGTTTGCCTCTCAGTGAAGACAT